GCCTCACACACATGCAAACCAGAGCTGGCAGAGAAGGAAATCACTTTTTAAAGAACAATTCTCAGAATCTCACGTCTACATTTTGGGAGCCCTAGCTCAAGAGGGGCCACGGTGGCATAGGTGCTGTGGTGGCACAGTGGGTTAAACTGCTAAGCTGCAGAGCTTGCTGAACAGAAAGTTGGCGGTTCGAATCCGCAGGACAAGGTGAGCTCTTGTTGTTAGCCCCAGCTTCTGCCAACCTAGCAGTTCGAAAACATGCAAATGTGAGTAAATCAATAGGTACTACTTAGGCAGAAAGGTAACAGCGCTCCATGCAGTCACGCTGGCCACATGACCTAGGAGGCATCTGTCTGGCTCTTCGGCTTAGAAATGGAGATGAGCACCACCCCCCAGAGTTGGACTAGACTTGACTTAATGTCAGGGGAAAACTTTTAACTTTACTTTAACCCAAGAGTTACATTTCAGAAAACACATTTGTGTGCACAATTTATATATATATTACCTTCTGATCTGTAGTCCCATTCAGATTCTGTTTGTTGCCGTTTTGGTTTGGCAGCCCAGCTGACTGCCACAAAAAGTAGGAGGGAGAAGAAGTACTTCATGGCGATCCTTGCAAAGGAATAAGAAAAGGGAAAATGAATCTTGCCCCTGAAAGGAGCTGAAAAAATAGGTCTGTTCTCTTCCCATTTCCAACTCTTAAACACTACACATAGTGTTTCCAACTCTCTCATTTCCAACTCTCAGACACTACACACCTTCCAGATAGGATGGTCACAAACTCTACATCCCAAAAGGAAGACTGGCGCCCACCCAGTGTGGGTCTATGGGTATGTACCTGTGTCAGAGCTATTTATCTACTTGAAAAATCCTAGCAGGCTGGAAATGTGACATGACATGATGTGAAAACCTGGTCCCTCCTTGAATTGGAATCTCATCTCCTTCAGTCAAGATACTTCCTACACTTGTATCCACATGAACAATACTAAACTTTGCAACATGGAGGATTTGGCAGAAATGCTGGGTACTGGGGTGCTGGGACAGAACAGTCGTACAGTTGGCAGCCAACTAAGCACTAAACTGTTTAGTGAAAATTGAACCACAAGGGACTGGTAGCACAAAAGAGTGCAAGCAGTTCTTGCTTAGCTGTAGCCTGATCTTCAGACCTAGATAGGACCAATATGTGAATGTGGAGAAGAGCAAATCATAGACCACCTATTACAATGCAGTCTGAGCCCTGCCACATGCACAAGGAGGACCTTCTTATAGCAACACCAGAGGCACTCCAAGCGGCCAGCTACTGGTCAAAGGACATTTAATATAATTGCAAAGTATTAATTTTTTTTTAAAGAAATACATTACAACTGTACCCTTGGTTTGCTCCTGATACGATAAATAAATAAATAGGACCAACAAGCAACTTTCACCAACTTGAAAGGGTAGGCAATTAGCTGAAAAAGTGCTGCAAGGTAGACCAACCAGCACGGGCAGCCTTGCCCTTCCCTTCTGTCACCCCCTTCACTCTGTCTAATGGTGGTGCTGGTCATGACTGCAGGTTATCTCCTTTCACAATTTCAGAGACATAGTAGGAGGAAATTGGAGTTTTAAGACACAGCAAGAAAGAAATAGAGATGGCTCTCCCCACAAGAAAAATAATTGGTCAAAATGACCAAACCCCACATAATAATACCACCACAAACCCAGCCCCTTGCAAAACTCTTGGTTGTGCATGCCTGACTCCAGGTAACACTATCAGAGGGTTTCACCTTCTTCTGAGGTTTGCCCAATGTGCCCCAGGGGATTTCCATTGCTAAGCAGGGATTCAACCCCTGGTCCCCAGAAACCTTAGTCCAACTTTCCAGCTACTTTACTATACTGCACAAATAGAGCAACACCTTTGGAGAAAGGGAAAGATCTTCTGATGAAGCTCTGGAGCAGTCGTTCCCAATTTGGTGCTATCCAGATGTGCTGGGTTACAATCCTGACTCTCTACATTCCCCTCAACAGCAAAGCCACGACATGTGCCAACTGTGGATGGTGGGCATTTTAGTGCAACATAGCTGCAGGGTTTTAAAAGGCTGCTTCAGAGCAACCAATGTTCAGAACGAAGACATGCACAAAAAAAAGACACACTCACAAAATGGGGGGTGGTGGGGGCAGTCTCTTTCCTACCTGCTGAGAAGAAATCCTGGGGCGGCAAGATGTGGTGGTGGCTCTTTTAAGTCTCCACTTTGCTCCTCTTTCTCTGGCCAAGATCGGAGGGCTCTTCTTCACCTTATAACAAGCTGTTCTGGGCTGCCGCCAAGCCACACAGCAGTCCTCTAATTGCAAACAGATCTGCTTGGCTGATGGAGGGGTTTCCAAGCTGTGGCTTATTTCTCTCAAAGGAAAGGGAGGAAGCTTGCAGGACAGTAGGGCACCTCCCAGAAAACTCAAAAGTACAATTCAGGACACAAGGACTTGGAGGAAGAAAAGTACTCTCTTCCATTCCTTTAAGCTATCTTCGATGCATAAGGGAGCTTTGAGATTCTGACATTCTAGCCCGGATGCACAACTGGCGTCTAGTCACGGTTTACACAGAATTCTTGAAATCTGCCCAGCACATGCTTGTTCTTGGATGGAAGGATGTGGAATTTATTTAAGGGAAATACAATGCAGGCTAATTACCTTGTTGGTGAGTTTTTCAAGTGGTAGGCAGTGAATACAAGTTATACCAAGAATTCATAGTCTCACTGCCAATTCTAGCAAGAGCAAATAACAGATCAGGGATGAGTAGAACCGATATGGCTGGTATCATCCGTGGGCTTACCGAAATACCAACACTCCTCATAACTAGCTGAGGGAGTGAGGTGTACTTTACTCCTTCAAAACTAAATGCAGCCTTCTTTGCCTCTGGTGCTTCCTTGGATTCGCCTATAGTGGTCTTTGTTTTTGCTTCACCAGTCCCGGCAGGCATTAGTTGCAAGTGCGTGGTGCAATGCAGAGCACACTAATCCAAGCTCAATGTGCTAGCTGACACTTTTTGGCTTTTCCCTAGTGTTCAGTTGAAGCAGAGTAATCCCTAATGACAAATAGAAAGTTTTTATTGCAGACTTGTCCCCAGTTCCTTTTATTGATATGCACAGCCTTCCTTTCCTACAATGAGTCAAAGACAGCATCTGTATCTTGCGTCGTCTGCACATTGACTTCCTAACTTTGTGAGACACGCAACGGGGAAGGAGAATGAATTGGTTGATAACCACATCCCCAGAATGCATGACAAAGTACTCAAGAGTAAAGCTCTTCAAGAAACAGCCCAAATAACCAAAGAGAATATAAAAGTCACTTAATATTGAAAAAATCTACAGGCATATTGTTTCCACATTCTTTCACAGAAATAGATGTGTGCCTTTAAGTGGAAACACACTTTGAAATGTAACTTAGTGAGTGGAAGTGCATACAGCTCTGGTTGTAACGCTGACTTCATATTTTATTTTTTCATTCACTCTAAGAATCAATTTACTTGGAAATTAATTCACTACTAAATCTCTTGGTTTTTAACTGCTCACTATGTATATTAGTCTCCCTGTACTGGTAAAATTTTGTAATTTCATTCTTTTCTTCCATCTGCTATGTGCCAGAACCATACTTACTTAGGTGATCCCTTGTAGCCCAAGGATGATGGTCCTCCAAGTGTCTTGGCGGTGGGTCCGTAGGTGGCTGCAGAGCCCTATTCCTGATCCTCATGTTCTCCCACAGTGAGAACATCGGTTTCCAGGTGGAAGGCGGTCTCGGTCAGGGTTGACTTGATGCACCTTCCTCTTGGCACGTTTCTTCCTTTTGCCCTCTATTCATGCCTCTTTGAATTCTGCAGCACTGCGGTCACAGCTGACCTCACTACAGCGTTCAAGGGCCAGGGCTTCTCAGTTCTCAGTGTCTATGCCACAGTTTTTAAGATTGGCTTTAAGCCCATCTTTAAATCTCTTTTCCTGTCCATTAACATTATGTTTCCCAACTCAAGACAGAACCATAGTATGAAAATGACAAGATGATTTCACTTATCTGTCAAATAGCACTCACCATTTGGAAGTTTCTCTCAACACTAATAAACACTGAAGAAATTGGTTCAGGGCTCTGGAATCCTTCAAGTTCATACCTAACTACATCTTTGCTCCTAATGCTTAACCAAATTCCCATTCTTCTAAAATGAAATGGGGGGAGTGTCTGTCTGGAAATGAGAAACCTAGAACCTGTAATGTATAACTATTTGTTGGAAGAGAACAGACATCAGGCTTTTTCCAAATGAGGAAACAGGGGAAGGAGAGTGATATTACTTGGAGGCCTTATCTAAGTCCCCAGGTGGCCAAGAAAAGGGAGTGTTCTTGACTGTTTTGATAGTGACTAAACAGATGGAGAATATTCATATTAACTGAGGATCCAGGAAGTTGAATATTGCATGACCAAGGAGCCTTTGAAAGACAATTATACTCAACTATACGTGATCACCCATGATGACAAAAAAGTAGAATTCCTTTTGCAATTAATAGTGTTTTACTGCCACTTTGTTGCATGAGCAGGAAAGCCAATACAATTTTTTAGGGTTGCAAAACATCTCCAGAGGGTCACACTATGTTACTGCCAGAACTTAAGCAATAATTCAAATAAACATGAAGGCAAAAGCTGTGCTCTTCTGAACAGATGGAGATAGCAAAACTTTGCCTAAAATTATTAGATCATTCTTTAGACAAAGTTCACCATCTTTAGTTGGCAATGTTGCTGAAATGCCACAAATCACTACCTTCTGTATCAACCAAGATACACAAGAATTTTAGAGAGTAGGCATGAGGACTGGAACTTGAAGTGAAGAGGGTCAATTATCAAGAAGGCTGCCCTGGAGAATAGCTGAAGTTCTGTCTGGGGAAAGATCTGTAATTTAACAATTGTGCAAGGTCCAAGTTGATGGAAAAGAACCAAACACAGAGGGTCAACACAAGCAGAGAAATAAAAGGCCCAGGAAACTGTCATTTTCAGATGCTTTAATAGACTTTTATTTGAAGGGCTGTTATTCAGTTAACTCCAGTCCAAACCCAACACACCTCTGCAACCCACAGATAAAGAGGAATAGCAAGAGCGGCTACAGCCCAGTGAGCTCAGGAAATCTAGTCAAAATGCAAACCTATGTCACATGTCCTGTCAACAATAATTAGGAAGTGTTTCCAAACACTTGACCATCCAAGCCCGAGATACTTTTGCCATGGAAGGCAGAGCGACCACATCCCTCATGGCAGCTGTCTGGGAGCCAGGCCTACGTGCCCATAATGAGAACAGGGAGCTGGGGCGGAGGCACATCATGCTGTGGCAATGAGCTTCTAAAAAATATCAAACGTGGGAAGGTTTAAAGCAGAATGCCTTCTGTCCACACAAGCAAACAGAGGTCAAACATGCCATGATTTCTCTGTAATAAAGTTGATGGATTTGCCTGGGTGATAACAGTTCAGTTGTGCAGAAATACTACTGCAAGAGGAACCATATTTGCCCTTATACTGCTGGCAGAGATGCTGAAAATATTTGGATCATGAAAACAGATATCTTTACTGTTGGGAAATTGGTACTTCAAAAGAAATAAGAAACTTGAGAGCATGGCTCAGTTGTGGTTACATGAACGGACAGTATGTTTCGCGTTCTTGAGGTGAGAGGATTTCTGGTGCTTTGGCTGCATTGTGCCTGGACAGTGACAGGGTAAGACAAAGCTTCAAATTCCCCATTCAGTTGTGCCCTGCTGAGGTTATATTCAGATTTTTAACAGGTATGTGGACGGTACTTGCAAGCTTTCCTTGCTCATAGTTGCTGATTTCAGAAAACAATTTCAAGGTAAAGGGAAGGTGGCATGGGAGATCTGGGGCATGTGAATTGTTGCCTGCGTAACCATGACACAGCCCAAATGATTTTGGTCAAAACGGCATCTGCTTTCAGATGGGATAGCCAATTGTTTGCCTTCGTCCTATCTGGATGAGAATACTCCTTTCTGTTGCACACCTGCTAGATGAGAAGCACCAGGGAACAGCAGCTGACATAGCTCCATTATGGATGACTGGACAAAAATGGGTCCACAGGCAACCACCAACACCCCTTCCCAATGAAGAATTACACTCTTTTTTTTTTTTAAGCATCAAAGTGCTTTGGGGCTTAGTCTCAGGCTCTAAAGCCGTGGCATGTTCTTCATTGCAAGTCATTCAATTTGGGAACTATAATTACAGGGTGGACTGCAGTGATTCAGGCACCACCAACCCAGTGATTCTGGGACTAAATGCAAAGCACGTCAAGAGAACAATATTAGGCAAGCTAGTGTTCGGGGAGCAAGGTGTCCCTTCAATACTGCTGCCTAGCCTTACTCACTGACTTTTTAAGGCTGGGGAAAGCTTGTGGCATGCAAGCTAACAGGGGGCATGGCCACTTCGCCATGTGCCCACAGAGCTGATGAGCCACATGGGTGACCTCAGTTCAAGGGAAACATGGCCTCTGGCTTTCTATAATACTGAGAGCAAAGAAAAGGCAAGGCTGCAGCACTGGGCAGAAGGGCTGCGTTGTCTTCTCCCACTGAAATAGCCAGTTCCAAGGGCAAGCTGCCGCCCCCTAGGTGGCGCTGTGGGCCCGCCATATGGGTCACCACCCCACTTGCCCATTCTGTCCCGCCCCTCATGGTGCATCATCCCAGGAGGAAGAACAGTCCTGCCCGGCTTAAGGGTTTGCCTCTGTATTTTTGCCAGTTGGTCTGTGATGGCCGCCCTGAATGCCAAGCCGGACGAGGCCTAGCTGCGTGGGAGGCTACACATTTCGCAGTGATCTGTGCCCGGCTGGTTCATGAAGGTGCAGTGCTGACAGGCCCACATGGAGGAGGTTGTTGCATGTTCTGAACCGCCCACAGCACCATACTCTTGGAGTCCTGGCAGTTGAACACCAACTGTACCTAAAAAGACAATATACCATCAGTAGGTGGTCAGAAGAATTCCAATAAGCAGGGGAATTCTTACTTGGAAGCATAACCCAAAATAGACACAATACCCAATATAGTTAAGGCAGAATCTGGCTATGTATCACAAAACCACAGTCTCCATTGTTCTTGCCATCTTGCCTAACTGCACAATTTTCTCTAATTGTATCATAATGTGAGCACATTTTCTTCTCTGCACTATATCAGTTCACATTGCACTATACCTTTGTCATTAGTATTTCACAAACTTTTCTCCCCTTGGAATGCGAAATAGCATTCAACTCCCTTCCTACATACTGAATTATCCCATAAGTGACTAAGGAAGTTTCAAACACAACTTCAACTATATGCAAATCAATGTATCCTAAACCAAATGCTCTCCAATGAGGTGCCTTAATCTCAGTTTTAAAGAAGAAATGCCTAGACATACTGCAAAGTTGTTCGATGGTGGCCCATTGTTCTGATTTCTTCCAAGTCTGTGCAAGCTCCTCATTTCGAGTCCTTACTGCATCTAGCAACAAGCTGATGCTGTCCTGAAAGAGAAGGTAGATCAGCATCGCATGAGAGATATTCAAGAAGCATCCTTTCCTGCATGAGTTATGCCATCTCTCAAGAATGCCAATGGTTATGGTGATATATTAATAATGATTTACAGTCCACTGAGATCTACTCGCCATTTCCTCCCCACCTAACAATTTTGCAGGCTTTTGAAACCAGAATTAGAAGGACAGATTGTCTTTCAAGTTCCTAATAACAGCATACTGACATCTGCAGCATGCTTTGACCAGTAAGAAGAACCACATCCCGGTCACACAGCAGTTTTGGATCCTTTGGCACTACAATGGCTGCATGCATAGTGACATTTTCTCTTCCTTTGAATTCCTTCTGGCAGAAGAGCACATGCATAGCCAATATGGCTCAGGGCGGTATTATGAGGAAAAGAACTGTCTTAATGAACTTTTGTAGACAATGTTCCAGAGAACTGTGGGAGTGAGTGTAAAAGTGTCAATAGACAGATGGGCAACAGAAGGCTCCACTGCAGTTTTGCTTGATTAGCGTTAACTGTTAACTGTCACCTGCAAAAGGCAAACAGTGGGCCTGAACTAATATAACTGCTGAAAAAGCATCTAGTGCTACAAACGGCAGAGGGTGCTACACACAAGTTATGAGCTGTGTGTGTGTATGTGTGTGTACCTACATGTCCTGGATGGAAATGTGCAGTGTTCATACCCAAAAGACTTAGAGAGTGTGAGTATGTAGTATGTGTGCATAATGCATTACCAACAATTCACACTGTAACTTTGCCTAAAAAAAAACCACTAAGAAGAACATCTTTTTTGTTGGCTTTGGATCTATATTCATACTAACAGGAGCGGGACGCAGGGAGCACACAACGCCCTTGTTGTTCCAGCTCCACTGGCTGCCGATCTGCTACCGGGCCCAATTCAAGGTGCTGGTGTTGGCCTACAAAGCCCTAAACGGTTCCGGCCCAAAATACCTGTCTGACCGCATCTCGGCCTATGAGCCCACGAGGACTTTGAGATCGTCTGGGGAACACCCTCCCTGTAGACATCAGACAGACGCCCTCCCTTATGACATTCCGCAAGAGACTAAAGACGTGGTTGTTTGAGAAGGCGTTTGACTAAGTGCTACAACAATTGGCAATGATGATTGGAACGGAATATGGATAACGAGATTGGATTGTGATTCTATGATGAGACGTCGCGAATGATTTAGTGTAATTGTATTATTGATAGTGATGTTGTTACTGTTGTTTGTGATATTGCCTTTATTGTAAATTGTTTTTATATGTTGTACACCGCCGTGAGTCGCCCTAGGGCTGAGAACGGCGGTCTACAAGTGCAGTAAATAAATAAATAAACAAATACTACAAATGTTAGGTTTCTTTATATAAGGATAAACATACAATCATACACACAAAATGGCAGCATGAAACAAATTTGATTGGCCCCGATCTCCAGTTGTCCACTGGCAACCCAGCTATTCTACACATGGTTTATGTTTACAATTCTTGAACCTTCTGGAAAGCACATGGCTTGATTCTTTTTTTCTCCTTCTTCTCTGCAGATGTTATTCTCAAGAACCTGGTGTGCAATTTTGCTCTGGTTTCTAAGTCAGTAAAAGAGGGGCGTAGGCGTGAGGGAAGAAGCAAACACGGGAAGTTGTTGGCCTCTGTGAGACTGGGTGACTGATGGTGCAATAATTTACAACAGGAAACTGATTCAGAGAGTTTAAAAACACTTCCAGTTGTTGATGTAACATACAAGTTGGCTTCATCTAGGCTGAAAATGTACTGATACAAACAAACCCAGCTTCCAAATGAAACACAAGACAGCCAACTTTCAAGTCCATCGAGCATCTTTGCTGCTAACCTTAGAGAGGCCACTTCAAAAGCAAAGACAGGCTTTGGTGTCTGAGGAAAGGCTTTGCCAAATTAACAGAAGCTTAACCTTCCCCTTCAGCACGCGAGATATTCTGGAGGCCAGAGATGATTAGCACCTTCCTCTGCATGCGCTCGCGTGAAGTTCCAGAATAAACTGCTTCTTATTACATACCCTTAAAGGCATCACTTCATTGGTGACCAAAAAGAGGAGCAGATGGAAATCAGAGATGATGTCAAGGAACACAGAGGAGGTGTTCTGGGACAAATATGTAGCCAGGCTATGAAAGTCCTGTAAAGTTTGTGAAGACAATACATATTTCAGTATTTATACAATTTCTTAAAATGTCTACTGCATTTATATTTGCCAAATCCCAACATTCTTTGCTACTTGCAAATAAATACAGCTTATCTATCTGTACATGCCTAATATCCCTGGCCTAGTCTGGCAAATGAAGCTTTCTAAACTTGGCAGCTACGGTATATATTCCAACTGTAGCCAGCTCCCATGGCAGAAAATTACAATGATGCCAGAATCCTAACCATTTCAGGAGCATAAAAGCCAACCAAGCTGAATCTTACAAGATGGCATTCTCCATGACACCTGAGAGCACAGGGCGGTTGGTGTTGCACACAGAGTTCTCTACCTCCCAAAACCTCACCTCATCTATCTGACCATCAGTCTATCAACTGAGAGAAGTTTTCTCACTCTCCTTCATGATAGTGCCCAAACTGGGCAAGTCCCCAAAGACAAATATGGTCAGATCTACCATTTATCATTTGCATCCTATTTCCGATAAATTATTGTATGTCATTCCAAGCCTGTTTTCATATTGCCAACAGTTGCCAGGGCAACTGAAATGAAAAGTCAAACTGATCTAAAGTGTTTTAGACCCAGTGGCTCATCACTAGACACACAACTAAAACAGAAGACAACCCAGACTCTGTCTCTGCTGAACATGATCTCTGCTTCAATTATGTACTGCATATTTTCTATCCTAAGAACTCTACAGAAAATACATACAAACATGTATGTGTGGCAGTCAAGAATATTTCTGGGACACAAAATTCAACATTTCTCTATAAAAGATTGCAAATTATGCCAGTGCTTATTACAAGAGGAAAGTGTTTCAATTACAGACATCCATGCAATCTTTGCTTTAACTTCTGATGCACACACTTCACAGTAAAAGTTCTATTTTACATGATTGCGAGCAATTTGTCCTCCCAGAGCTGCTCTTCCCACACACAAATTTAGCACAAGAGCTAAGAGGAGACTAGAAATGGGGGTTTACCATCCATTCTATGCAACTCAATTTTTGTGCATGCTTGATAAACTCCAAATACTAAAATCTAATCCAGTGCGATAGTACAAAGACATTACACCAACTATTACTCACACTTACCTGAGTCTCTCCCAGCACGTCACGGTTCTCAATAGGGAATGGATTTTGAGAAATAGAAAATGTATAAACTGGATCTTTAGGAAACGTGGTAGTAATCTTTTAAAAAAAAGGAAAAGGGGGTTTGAATTACAACTGGCATAGCACACCACTGCAAGAAACAAAACAAAAGCCAGATGTATGGCAGATGAAGGCCTTAGTTGAGCATCTTCAACATCTAAAGATCCAGAGGCCCAGCTGGGAAGGCCAGAGGGAGAAAGTATGAAGTGAAGCTTTTCATATTTGCACAGTCTCTGCCTAACCCGCACAGTTTCTTTCCCCAATGAGATGCTTCACCCTGTATGGCTGAACAAACAGATCACAACAAGGAATCTCAGTTCAAACAACAAGGCTTGTTTGGGAATATGAAGACCTGCATGGGTTGATCAAGACTAGGCTTGCCATCTGACACAGATTCTGTCAAGTGTGCCAGGCTGAATCCTTGAGGAGCTCAGGCACCTGCTGCCTTTCCCCCCATTTAAAAAAAAGGCAACTATAATAAGACAAAGACATCTTCCTTTGAAGTGGCTTGTAAGCTGTGTTAACGTGAGGTGGCTATGACTACAACAAAAATAAGAGCAAGCTTGTTGATCTCACACAAGTTGCCCAAGGTAAACCAATATTACAGGCTCTTGCATTTAAAAATGAAGAACTGTCAAATCCCAGCTGGGAAGCTATAGAGTGGGCAACCTGACTAACAAAAGGCTTTTCAATCAGGGTTGAGTACAATTTGTAACAACACCAAAACTACAGAAATAGCTCATGTTATAAGAGAATAATTTTTAAAAAAACAACAGACAAATTGTGAAGAGAGAGGCTTCAGGAATTCAGTTTTATCTCTTTTCAGACTCCTCCTAACTGCATGCTCTGCCAATCTGTTTTTATCTTAATTATACCCCAGGTGGTTCAAAAACAGATGCCTCTGCTGCTTTGGTAATACATGTGTTTCTGGGCTATCAACTGGGAGCAGAAAGTCTGCAGGCTCAACACAATGGTTGCTGCTATTGCAACAGGCAGCAGCTCACCCCATGAATCAGGCTGCAAATGCCTACAGCCCAATTTCAACTCTGAACAGCAACATAAATACAAGGAGGAGGAGGAACAAGTGAAAATTTGACACCATCATCATAGATTGCTATGGTAACTCTCTTTAGATTCACCTCTAACTGGTGCTACCAAAATCACAATTACATCTTCTTTGCATTCTTCCATCCTATAAATGCCCTTCCTCCTTAATTTAGCCTGTAGCCATTTTTACAGATTATCACGTGCTTAATATACAGTAAGATGCAATATATACATAGGCCTTTTATACGAAAAATAAAATCATTTCCCTGTAAAAAAGAAGCAATAATAACAACAACAATAATGTGTTTTCCCCTCAGAATTGAGACCCAAAGTAGCTCACACTTATAAAGCAATATAATTAAAATATATAGAAGTCAAATATTTAAAATGGAATAAACATATACAATTATTTTAAAATATATAAAATACAATTAAAATAAATGAATAGAGAACATATAAAAACAATTCACTACAAAAAGGAGGAGAGCATTCTGGCCTCCCTGGAAAATGAGTTCAAAGCATAGGCACAACCTCTGATAGTGGTAGGACTGAGAGAAAGGCTTCTCTCTCAAGGATCTCAGGGCCAGTGCCAGATCACAGAAGGAGATACAGTCTGCCAAATAGCCTGGACATGAGCCTGCTAAGGCAATGAAGATGTCACTGGCCATCTAGTCACATTTGGTTCAGTGCCTGTAAGCAACAAGCTGCTTAATATCTCCTCCTTGCCAACAAGCTCCTAGTAACATAATTGCCAACCTCTCTGTGGAGAGGATGGGTGCAATCATTTTTATTTATCTAATGAATATATGCCATTTCATAAAAGTGGCGAGATGCTTTAAGAACGTCCAACAAAGGAAGCAAAATGCTTTCCTGCGTTTTCTCATAGTTGGGGCCGCAAAACAAAACTGCAACCAATAAGGAAAACAGTAATGTCAAGTTTAGCTCTGGAATGAATATTGCCCATTTTTATTTTTCTCTGCAGTATAAAGCACAACGGATACTTACATCTATGATAAGGTACTCAACAGGAAGAGGGCGAGCTAGCTGAGTGATCTCATTGCCAAACTTGTCTCTCCCCTGAAATGAACACCAGTGAATCGGTTAGGCAGAATGATTAATGCAGAATATCCACACAGCAACAGATCAGAACAAATAACATCACAGTCTTCCAGGTGGGCCAGGAGATACTTTCTAGTAGATTATTTAGTGCCAGCTTGTTAATGCCATTTTTGCACTCAAAAGCACTCAGTGAGGAACATATATTCTAAAGTAAGAGAGCAGGACAGTTTACATACACCATGAAGTGATCCCAAACATGAATTCCTGCTTTACAGATTTTAAACACATCTCCAATAGAATATGGGGTTACATTTTTTGAAAAAGACAATTCAAAACAGACATCAGTTCATCTATGCAGTCAACAATTCTGTGGAAAGTTGTAGTAATGTGAAAAAACATTATCCATAAGAAGTAATTTGACTACTATCAAGAAAAAAAAAACTAGGGATGGTGTCATAATAAACTTCATCTCCATATGGAGTAACACAGATGGCTCATCCAACACAGTAAATCAACTCCGACATTGGGTAGTACAAGCTAAAGACAATGGGTTGCTCGGATACTGATGGCTTTGCAGCAGGTTTTACACATGAAAACAAAGTGCAAGGTTTTCTACCCTAGTTTCCAATCAATACCTCCTGTGTACAAGAGAATTATCAGCATGAACTGAAAGGGCACACAGCCATTTCTGCTAATCCAGTGGCAGTTTTAACAACCGATATAAATGGCATGGATATTTTGGAGGGGAATGAGAAGCTGCTGGTTCCTATCTGCAGATTAGCATTTAAGGGCTCTTTTCCCATCAGACCATACAAATGGGTACACCATCAATCACACCTATCAGACGGCATGGGAAGCCTCCCATACCTTGCAGCTTCTATTGTTCCAATGAAGTAGTTCAATGCCTTACAACTTGGTTCATATGAATCATAGCTAACACACACTATTTTCACTTGGAGCACAAGGTGGTCCTATGGCTCAATGACAGAAACCTTTCTATAGGATCACAACATGAAAATGTCTCTTTGGCTTGGCCACAGCTTCAGCTCTTCTCAGCCCAAGGGAAGAAAAAGATTCATTATTTTTCAACAGCGAAGGATGCTAGCTATACTGATATGAATGTCTTATCCCTTGTATAATATTTACTAATTTCACAGGAGGCTTAAAAGGATTATTGTAACCTTAATAAGACAGAGGCTATGCATCTAGGCCACATGTAAAAAGAAATGGCAAGAAGATAACTTCTGCCAGCCTCATATCCCCTTGTATTGCCTTTGCATCTGAAAAACGGAGAAGTCTATCAGTCCCTTTGGCACGTTGCCCCTGCTGAACCTCAAAAATTTTCAGAAGCATTTATCTGAAAATCATTATCTGATGGGACTTTAGTATTGAAAAGAGAAAACCTTAGCCATTATTGCCTTCCTTTTCTTAGACCAGAGGGAAAAAAATGACTCTGCTAACTCTGAACTTGTTTCACTTTGCTGGATTGAAATGAGTACAAGTTCACTTTTGGGGCGGAAATGGCTAGCACATGTTCATTAATCACAATGTGACAATTAGACCTGATTTATGCCAAACACACTGAGTTTAAACACTGCTTCAGAAATAAATTCATAAGAACAGACATTTTTCATTAAAGATTCTGCAAGTGGGGGTTGTATTTTCCAACTAAATCACCACTTAACAGGATATAAATCACTCACTCAGACCTATATAAATTATACATTTGAAATTTCTAATCAAGAGACCTTACATAAGAGTTTAAGTTCTCTTAAACTTTGCAAAGCAAACGTGGCTGTGAGGCAGATCCCAAGGACAAATACTTGGACACTCCTGCCAGTGTGAAGACTTGATTCACTGCAAGAAGAGCTCATATGAGAATGTAGGCCGCCACACAGTGCAATGCAAGTCACAAGACGGGAGGGAAACCATCAGCCGGTCATTCCTGGTGAGAACTGCTAATCAGCACTCCAACATACTATCAAGTAATTCATTCAGGTTTATAGGTTAAAAGACTACAAGTTCAAATTCTGCCTGGCCTTTAATATCCTCTGGTGCTGAAGGCTTTTTTCCCTCGTGAAAATCCTAATAAAAATCTATCAAAAGCAACAGTTTTTGTTGAACTAAGGAAGGGATGTACCTTCAATTACGGACACAAATAACTTTCCCCAAATTCACTAAAGTTTGCTTTTTATCTTTACCAAATGAAACTACGCAGTTTTCAATGGAATTTTCACCTATCTTCAAAATGAAGCATTTCACACTATCAAATTCAAGGACCTTCTTGCCATTACTAGTGGGACAAAGAACTATGAGACTTCCAAAGTTCACTATTGCAGGTTGCTTGTAAGATGATTAACTTATCATCCTTGAGTTTGGTGAAAAATAAACACAGCAACAAATCAATAGTGGAACAAACAGTATAGCGCAGCGTTTCTCAACCTGGGGGTCGGGACCCCTGGAGGGGTCGCAAGGGGGTTTCAGAGGGGTCGCCAAAGACCATCAGAAAACACAGTATGTTCTGTTGATCATGGGGGTTCTGTGTGGGAAGTTTGGCCCAATTCTATCATTGGTGGAGTCCAGGATGCTCTTTGATTGTAGGTGAACTATAAATCCCAGTAACTACAACTCCCAATGACAAAGTCTATTTTCCCCAAACTCTACCAGTGTTCACATTTGGGCATATTGAGTATTTATGCCATTTATTCATGTTTGGGGGGGGGGGGGGGTTGATTTCTATTTGTGCCAAATTTGGCCCAGTGAACGAAAATACATCCTGCATATCAGATATTTACATTACGATTCATAACAGTAGCAAAATTACATTTATGAAGTAGCAATGAAAATAATTTTATGGTTGGGGGTTACCACAACATGAGGAACTGTATTAAGGCGTCACAGCATTAGGAAGGTTGAGAAACACTGGTACAGTGGCATCACTGACTGTCTCTGCTGGAAAATCCAATGTAGACATCTGCCAATCAGACATGTGCCCAAAACATGCTATGATGAGTCTCCAAATAAAATATTGATAACAAAGACAAATCTCATTTCTTGAATAAGATAGTCTGCTTGATATTCTTATGCTTGCAACAACAGGCTCATACGCTTGCCCATTACATTTTCTGAATTCCAGCAGAAGACAGAGAAGGAAATGCTGGTTCTAAGGCAATTTAGTATCTTAAAAGCCCATTTCTTTTTATGGATATATCTTCATAGTGCTTACTCAGGGAAACTGCATTTACACAGCACAGCCCATTCTGCAATCCTCTACCAGGTTTCATTCCATGCTGATCCTCCTCATTAGGCACAATGTCATCATCAGGGGAAAGAAGATAGCGGTCTTTCTTAAGAGTACTCCCCACATTTCTGGATACGCACTACAGCCCCCAGCTAGCTTCTCACAGGCTGCTATTTTGCTGGCATTCCCTTAATCTTCACAAGATGGCAAACAGCAAAATAAAAGTCAATGAAATCAACTTGCAGACTTGCCCATGCAAGAAACAACTTGCCACACCAGCCATATAATTAGCCCATCTGGAACTCATCATCAAATCCAATTAAGTTCTAATATGCAGGCACATTTTTCCCCAGCACCTGTTCACTTTCATCTTGCCCTCAGGGGATTTCCACATTAAAAGACATTTTTTAAAAGTCAGGTTACTGAAATCTGAAATATACTTGCTTATTTTGTTCCTATCCGACAGAAGCTTCCATCTCAGCATTACAAAGCAGTATCCGTGAAGCCAGCTCTTCAAAAGAAAAGCTGCAGTGAGCCACCCCTGTCCCATTGTTAAGCAATTACACTTTTGAAAGCCTTCAAACATGTCAGGTTGGAGTACAAAGGAATTGAATACCCCATCACAGAAACAAAGTTCGATGCAGGACTCTGGGAGCATCTATACTGTACAATTAATGCAGTTTGCCACCAGTCTGACTGCTATGGTTCAATCCTATGGAATCCTGGGAATTGTAGTTTGATGAGACACCAGCACCTATTGGCAGAGAAGGTGAAAGACTTCATAAAATGAAACTCCCACAATTCCATCACACTGAGCAGCATAATGGTTAAAGTAGTGTCAAATTATTATTATTATTAATTATTATTAATTTGAGTCCCCCAGGGGGACTCAAATTACAGTGTAGATCAAGCATGCACAACTTGGCAGTAGTAAAGGCCAAAATCAAGGCTAAGCATCTTTGAGCAACAGAGTCCTTGTTAGCACCTCACTCTGGGATTTCTGAGAGAGTGCCTTTCTCTCACAGCACGCAGTGAAGTGAATCAGTTTCAATCTTCTTTACCACTTCTCTTTCTCCTTCTAAAATGGCCAATTTACTTTTAAATTTGAACATAACCTGGAGCCCAAAATTCCAACCTCCCTCAATAAAGGTCTGATACCCCTTAAAATTTCATCCCCACTCCCCACTACTCCAACCTGAGCCCAACAACCTCCCCAAGCAATGTTTCCAACTGAGACCAGCACCTCCAGCATCCTGACTGGATCTATTGTTGGTGCCCCCTTTGTCACAGGTTAGTTTGGTAACTTTGTTGTATACAGAAAGGAAATGTGTAGAGGTAAAACACTTGGAGGAAGGAATGGTGGATTCTCATGGCTACTCTGCTATAGCACTGCATGTGACCTCCCTCTCCAAGCCTTAAGCTCAAAGCCTCTGTGTGCTGCACCAAATCCTTGTGAGGACTGCATCCAGTTCCCGGGCCGCATGTTGTGCAGGCCTTTTATAGATGCACCCTCCATTTGATCTGTAGCAGATGTCTGAACAGGTAGGTGGCACAGTGCTTGTTGCATCTTTGGATTCATCCTTATTTGCTCCTTGCCCCTATCCACCCAGTCAACACAAAAGCGGGTACCAAAATGTTCACACAGTTCATGTATACAGAAGCCTTGTGCTGAATTCTTTTAAACCACTTGGCTGTCCATTCACACTCACTATTTCAGGTTAGTAGAAAATATGTTTTATAATGTCCTTCATAGAATCACAGAATGGGAAAAGACCAC